ATGACGGGGGAGAGTGCCAGGAGTGTAGTGGAGGAGAGGGTATGGTGGGCAGTGTGTGAGCGACGTCTGGGCACTTGGGCATACCTGATGCTGCTGCTCATGCTACATGCCCACCCACCTCAGACAGCTGCCCAGTACACGGGTGAGTTTATCAGCTGCTGCCTTCTTTCCTGATAGATCTTCTTGCAGAGCAGAGTTTTCTTACCTGGAAAATCTATCTCGAGAAATATCTTACGAAGCAAATCTGACGCGTGAAGAGGTCGACTGTCCTCTTTTAAGGGTCATTAAGGTTGCATATCACCTGTTCATCACCAGTCAAGAAAACTTAAATAAGTGGTATGGTGATACTACTGAAAAATGGTATCACCATACAAATTTTCAGTTACTGGGCCAGTAGGCCTATAGCAAAGTTCCTTCTGTATAAGCAAGTGCGACTTGGACCTTTCTAGCATGGGCCAGTAGGCCTGCTGCAGTGCTCCTTCTTTCTTAAGCTCTTATGTGAACTCTGGCATATATACACTGACAGATATACACTTTAAGGAGAAAATATACCTCGCTGCTGAAATCCTCTACTACGACCTCTCTCTCTCAACTAATCTTCTTACACTACAGTTGTATTTTGAACACCTGGTTGGTCTCCGCAGGCAAACAATCCTCTTCATCTTTGAATGATTGTTTACAATGATTGTTTACAATGATTGTTTACAATGATTGTTTACAATGATTGTTTACAGTGATTGTTTACAATGATTGTTTACAATGATTGTTTACAATGATTGTTTACAATGATTGTTTACAATGATTGTTTACAATGATTGTTTACAAGGATTGTTTACAAGGATTGTTTACAAGGATTGTTTACAATGATTGTTTACAATGATTGTTTACAATGATTGTTTACAATGACTGTTTACAATGATTGTTTACAATGATTGTTTACAATGATTGTTTACAATGACTGTTTACAATGATTGTTTACAATGATTGTTTACAATGATTGTTTACATGATGTTTACATGATGTTTACAATGATTGTTTACAATGATTGTTTACAATGATGTTACAATGATTGTTTACAATGATTGTTTACAATGATTGTTTACAATGATTGTTTACAATGATTGTTTACAATGATTGTTTACAATGATTGTTTACAATGATTGTTTACAATGATTGTTTACAATGACTGTTTACAATGATTGTTACAGATTGTTTACAATGATTGTTTACAATGATTGTTTACAATGATTGTTTACAATGATTGTTTACAATGATTCAGGACATCGGGAGAAACTACAGTGACACAAGAAAAATTTTTTGCTTCTCTGTGTGTTGCTTCTTGTGTTTTCCTCGTCCACTGACCACATACCCGGCTTCCACTGTATGTGAAAATGCATCTTTATTATTGTTCGTAATAATCGATGAATTAGGGTTAATTTACTAAACCTGAAATTAGCCTAATGTCACCTACCCTAAACCTAATTTAACCCAAATTACATATTTATATCTGAGCCGCTGCAATAGATTCCGCAGTCGGAATCACAATGAGGACCTGTATACAGGCAGTATTAATAAGAGTGATTACACGGTAATGTTTTGCCACCTGAGTCCTTAATAAGCTATCAACATATATCCAGACAAACGAAATATTAAACATTAACACTTGACATATATATATATATATATATATATTATATATTAATATATATATATATATATATATATTATATATATATATATATATATTATATATATGTTGTGCCGAATAGGTAAAACTGGTCAATTAACAAGAACTCATTTACAATTAAATCCTTTCTAAAATTTTCTCTTATACATTTAAAGATATTTTCTCTTTTCATTTATGTTAATGTAAAAATTAATAATTGTGTACCAAAATCGCAAGTTTTACCTATTCGGCACGACATATACATAGTATATGCATTTATGCATATATCTCCTTATAAATAACAGAACAAGATTTATCATTTATTAACATTAATCTCAGGCAAGAGAAGGTTAGAATGTACATACCTTGAGAGCAAGCAAGTACCCACAACTATCCACACCAACAAGTACCCACAACTATCCACACCAACAAGTACCCACAACTATCCACACCAACAAGTACCCACAACTATCCACACCAACAAGTACCCACAATTATCCACACCAACAAGTACCCACAACTATCCACACCAACAAGTACCCACAACTATCCACACCAACAAGTACCCACAACTATCCACACCAACAAGTACCCACAACTATCCACACCAACAAGTACCCACAACTATCCACACCAACAAGTACCCACGACTATCCACGCCAACAAGTACCCACAACTATCCACACCAACAAGTACCCACAACTATCCACGCCAACAAGTACCCACAACTATCCACACCAACAAGTACCCACAACTATCCACACCAACAAGCACTCACAACTATCCACACCAAGCCAGACCATTACATAACTCTGGCGTCGAGTGAACTAGTTAATTGCTTCAGAGCCGGTGACAACAAGTTGGTGATTACTGTCTCATCTGTCTTGCTGGCATTAACTCATCAGAAATATTAAATAATCCGTATTTCGCATTCTAATATCAATTGTGTTTCCACAACGGAAGATGCTAATTGAAAGGAAGTTCTAAGTACCCATGGACAACGTGAGGTTAACAGATTACGTCGAAGTACAAATTATGTGTAAGTACAGTCTAACAGAAATTGGCTGGTAGTTTTGCAGTGTTGGCCTCGGTACACAAGCGCAGATCTTTGACTGAGACAAAGAACTTTTTCACACACAGGCATTAGAAACAGTGGACTAGGTTTATCTCTGTGACAGAGTTCCACACAGAGCGTTACGTTGTATGAGTACATGTTTCTTCTGCATGTTCAACTGCCTCCCAGCACACATAAGGGGGATTACCAACAGACCCCTGGCAGTCTTCAAGCTGGCACTGGACAAGCACCTAAAGTCAGTTCCTGATCAGCCGGGCTGTGGCTCGTACGTTGGTTTGCGTGCAGCCAGCAGCAACAGCCTGGTTGATCAGGCGCTGATCCACCAGGAGGCCTGGTCACAGACCGGGCCGCGGGGGCGTTGACCCCCGAAACTCTCTCCAGGTAAACTCCAGGTAAGATCAAGGCCTATATTTAAGTCCTGGAAGAAGTCCTCACATGCTTGCAATAACTTACTGGAAAGGTAACTGGAAGTACTGATTTGGCAGTAGAGTTGTAGATGAGTGGAACAAACTCCCAGGTAGCGTCATTAGGTCGAGTATCTCGGGTAGTTTTACGCTGGACAAGTACATGAGTGGGTGTGTGTGGGTGTGAGTTAGACTTGCCTAGCATGGATCAGTAGGCCTTCTGCAGTGCTCCTCGTTTCTATGTTCTTCCTAAGAGGCAAGAGCGTCTATTACAAAGTAATTCATCCATAAATTTTTCATGGCATGGTGCCCTTGATATCAGTATGGGAAGATATAATGTCTTAAAAATATTTAATGACTGGACGAGAGTTGGAGAAAATACGAATTTTGAGATGATCAGTAAGTTGTTGTTACTCTTAGTGTTATTATTGTTGCTGTTGTTGTTGTAGTTGTTGCTGTTGTTGCCGTTGTTGTTGTTGTTGCTGCTGTTCTTATTTCTGGTCCTCTTGTTGTTGCTGTTATTGTTGTTTTCTAATGGCCTCGCCGGTTTATACCTTAAGTTCAACATCACTTTAAGTGAACAAAATTTGTGGTCAGAATAGAGGCAGAAAAATTATTCTTAATTTATGTGAGATTAAAAGTTTGAAAGTATAAACATATTTAGAAAGTTCCATAATGTTTAGTATAATTAATATATTTAGAAAGTTCCATAATGTTTAGTACAATTAATATATTTAGAAAGTTCCATAATGTTTAGTACAATTAATATATTTAGAAAGTTCCATAATGTTTAGTATAATTAATTTATTTTAGAAAGCTCCATAATGTTTAGTATAATTAATATATTTAGAAAGTTCCATAATGTTTAGTATAATTAATGTATTTTAGAAAGATCCATAATGTTTAGTATAATTAATATATTTAGAAAGTTCCATAATGTTTAGTATAATTAATGTATTTTAGAAAGTTCCATAATGTTTAGTATAATTAATATATTTAGAAAGTTCCATAATGTTTAGTATAATTAATGTATTTTAGAAAGTTCCATAATGTTTAGTATAATTAATATATTTAGAAAGTTCCATAATGTTTAGTATAATTAATGTATTTTAGAAAGTTCCATAATGTTTAGTATAATTAATATATTTAGAAAGTTCCATAATGTTTAGTATAATTAATGTATTTTAGAAAGTTCCATAATGTTTAGTATAATTAATGTATTTTAGAAAGTTCCATAATGTTTAGTATAATTAATGTATTTTAGAAAGTTCCATAATGTTTAGTATAATTAATATATTTAGAAAGTTCCATAATGTTTAGTATAATTAATGTATTTTAGAAAGTTCCATAATGTTTAGTATAATTAATGTATTTTAGAAAGTTCCATAATGTTTAGTACAAGTAATATATGTTTAAAAGTCACGTAATTTTTAAATAAAACTATTTAAAAAATATAAGAGAGGTGAGCAGTAGGACAAATGGTCGACTATTTGAAACCTAATCACACTTAGCAGTTAGTGTCGTGAAAGTTATGTTGATAGCTATGTTGACAGACATACAAGTATGCTGACAGACATACGAGTATGTTGACAGATATGCAAGTATGCTGACAGACATAGAAGTATGTTGGCAGACATATAAGTATGTTGACAGACATACAAGTATGTTGACAGACATATAAGTATGTTGACAGACATACAAGTATGTTGACAGACATAAAAGTATGTTGACAGACATACGAGTATGTTGACAGACATACGAGTATGTTGACAAACACACAAGTTTGTTGACAGACATAGAAGTATGTTGGCAGACATATAAGTATGTTGACAGACATACAAGTATGTTGACAGACATAAAAGTATGTTGACAGACATACGAGTATGTTGACAGACATACGAGTATGTTGACAGACATACGAGTATGTTGACAGACAACAAGTATGTTGACAAACATACAAGTATGTTGACAGACATACAAGTATGTTGACAGACATA